CCGCCGGTCCATTTCAAGTGAGTTGCGCCTGTTTTTCTTGGACCGGTTCGCCTGCGAGGTATGCAGCCCATCTTACGCTACCCGCCAGATTCAAAAGACCTCCTCTTAAAACTCACGTGTGTCTGGACAGGGGTGGTTTCTGGCGAAAACAAAAGTAGTTTTGTGGTTCCCTGGTTCACCTCTGTCGGTTCGACTACTTTTCCGTCGAAATCCGGACCCACCCATTTTTGCTAAACATGGGAAGGCTTATAATAGCCTTTGTAAATTTGGCCAAAAATGAGAAATTTGAAAATCGCTGGAAATGGTTGGGATTCGTTTGACAGCACCCTCTCACTAACTCTCCGTCGAAATTTCACTTCGCAGGCCCATTTTAAGCGAGTTACGCCCGTTTTTCTTGTACCGGCTCGGGTGCTAGGTAGGCAGCCCGTTGTACGCTGCCCGCCAGATTTAAAAGACAATCCCTTAAAACTCAAGTGGCTCTAAACAGGGTTGGTTTCTGGCGTAACCAAAGGTAGTTTTGTGGTTCCCTGGTTCACCCCTGTCGGTTCGACTACTTTTCCGTTGAAATCCGGACCCGCCCATTTTTGCCAAAAATGGGAAGGCTGTAGCCTTTGTGAATTTGGCCAAAAATGAAAAAAATAAAAATCGCTGGAAATGATTGGAATTGGTCAAGGAGAGTCGCCTTTGACCTCCTCTGTCGAAATTGCGTGCTTCCTGCCTCTTTTGCATCCTGTTTCTTCGACTATAAAATTGCGTCTTTGGTTTGTTGCAGGAAGATTGGCCTGGAGGTGCACCTGACTTGGACATCAGTAAAGCAGCCTATGTGTCACCTGCTGTATGCTGAGTTGGCTCTGCAGCACACAGCATGAGAAATGGCCCCTTTATCTCATGATCGCAGGAATGAATCTGGTAAGTTTTGATTTTCAATGTGATGTTAACATAATGTACCAGTAAATTTATGGTCGTCATGTCTGGTAAAAGTTTATTTTGGTATTGTTTCTATTTGGGGGTTACTTGTCATTTCTTTACTGCTTATTCTCATTCCATATATATGGCTTATTACTTGAGCCTAAAATATATAGTCGTGTTTTAATTTTAGTGCGGAACTGGAGGCAAATCATTAGGAATCTCTGACAGTAATGCTGCTATTTATTTCATTTGTATGG